TTAAAATTACTAAGGTTTTTTCTTTCTTTTTTTCTTCGGACCTGCGTAAATAGAAGAGTTTCGCTACATGACGTTTAATAGAGTCTCTTTATACTGAGAGTCAAGACGACACCCCCTCATGGAGTCACAAAAGGGAATAAAGATTTCAGAAATTGAACGCTATTCGTAATCTTTGATCGGCCCATTCTCAAATTCCTTTCTCCGTTCCTTCTCTCATTCCGTTTGTTCCTTGTCAAACCCGTAATTCCCTGGTCCATTCCAGAGTATAATCTTTGCAATCGGTGAACATGTAATCTTTATTCCCGTTTGTGACACTGTGAACTGTGAAGGCCTGACATACGGGAACCAATCAGAAATGGATTCACATTGTCTTGACTCTCAGTATAAAGGGACTTTAACGTTTAGTTGTGACGTATGAGTACGAGAATTTTTAGCCTGGTTTTCCATGTCCTCCAATAGATTCGATCACGGACGAGGAGAGAGATTCTAGGTCAAGCGGGTCAGCGGGGGTCATCAACACGGACGAAAAAGCACCCCTTGTTTCGAGTTCGCTGCATCGAGCCGCGCTTGTAATAAAAAACCCTCTGGGGCGGAAACTTCTCATCATCCCTCATTAATAGCAGCGGACCGCGATCGTATACGCAAACAAAACAAAACATCCAGCGAGTATTTTCCTACGAGCACTCTTTCGCTCGAAATCGGCCTTTGAATCATTAATGCTGAAATTCCTCCTGATTCACGCTACCCCTCGGGGGTGGGGGAGTGAGGTGACCTAAAAACCTTATTTGCTGGGGTCACAATCGATTTGACATCTGTCCCGTTTCACTTGTCCCTTTGAACATGCACGAATCAAACCCCGCGAGAATCGACGTACTTGAATTTATGGGGATCTTGACGCTTTATAGATGCTGCAAGTATATCGATAGCCTAAGTGCGAAACCGTGCAGGTTCGTTTGTTACGTTGCAGACGTCTTGTCATAATTTATTTTTTCTTGAGAAAACTGGTCAACTTAATTTCTTGAAACTTCCTTGATTTTTCTTCCCTGATAGCATCATATTCCTCAGAAATTTCAAGCCATCCGATTGACTTGAGTCTCTTCGAAAAAACATATTAGGGACAAATATTTTAAAACACCGCAACGCGGTTTCGCACAATAGCCGTCGATATGATAACACGGATCGAGATGAGGATTTTTCGAAATTTCAATCAGTTTTCAAATTAGATAGTAATCAATTTTTACCAATGAAAGATAAATCAGCAATTCATTATACCACCACTTTTGAAGGTATAATTCTAATACTCTCATTTTAATTTTTATTTGTAGATGTGACCGATTACTTACCCTACAGTAAGGAGGACCTTTGTCTAAGGATGAAAACATTTCTGAAGAGCAATTTTCATCAAATTAAGTAGAAGAATCGGAGTATAATTTTTGGACGAACATCTCTCTCTCTCTCTCTCGTATTAAAATGATCAGGTATAATAATATACTTACTCTAAGTCAATGGATCCTCTGAATAACGAAAAAATCACTCGTACTAAAGATGCAAGCTAATCGATAACAGCGTTTCGGTGCCAAGAAAAAACGCCGTATTAACATACGTAATGGTGCCTAATTTCCCAGAATAAACCAAAAATTTTAATGAGAAGTCCTTGAATCAATTTTTGATACTTCAGATCAAATTACAATTGAAATTCATGGAAAAAAGGAGGACAAAATAATACATAGGCTGTCCCAAAACAACTGGCACTAAGGTTGTCATTCGGGAACTACAATAGATATCGACATGCGGTTTGCGGGAGGTGATAGCTCATACTCTTAGCTCTTGAACGAGCCTAATTTGAGCTAATTTGGTTAAAAACTCAACGAGTTACATCGATTTTCCCGAGACGTGTAAGAAATACCCCTACGGAATTTTTCGGTAATTTTTCATTCCTTAACTTTGCCTCCGCAAGCTGTGAAATTGGTTCAGACGTTATGAATCAAGTTTCCACTTCTCTGGATGCAAGTTCCCACTTGTCAGCAAGTGTTTCCATCACAGCCGAGAAGTTTTTTTCTGTTTGCAAAGTCAGTTTAGTGAAATTGTCCGGCCTGATAACGCGTTTTTTTGTGTTTCGTCATGAGTTCACCCGCGGAGTTGAAGCAAGAGCAACGATACGCAATTCGATATTGCGTTCGTCGTGAATTATCTGCTTCTGAAACACTTCTAAGCCACTGTCATTTCATTCACAGTTTCAGAAGCAGATAATTCACGACGAACGCAATATCGAATTGCGTATCGTTGCTCTTGCTTTAAATCCGCGGGTGAACTCATGACGAAACACAAAAAAACGCGTTATCAGGCCGGACAATTTCACTAAACTGACTTTGCATACAGAAAAAAACTTCTCGGCTGTGATGGAAACACTTGCTGACAAGTGGAAACTTGATTCATAACGTCTGAACCAATTTCACAGCTTGCGGAGGCAAAGTTAAGGAATGAAAAACTACCGAAAAATTCCGTAGGGGTATTTCTTACACGTCTCGGGAAAATCGATGTACCTCGTTGAGTTTTTAACCAAATTAGCTCAACTTAGGCTCGTTCAAGAGCTAAGAGTATGAGCTATCACCTCCCGCAAACCGCATGTCGATATCTATTGTAGTTCCCGAATGACAACCTTAGTGCCAGTTGTTTTGGGACAGCCTATGTATATTCACAGGTTTTCCGAAAAATGTATGTTTTATGAGAGGAAAACGACTTTAAATTTTGAACCAAATCTTATACTATCGATCACGAATAATCATAGAGAATGTAACTTTTATGTTGACCAACATCTCCAAAAAATAAAAATAAAGTTTCTTAGGAAGTTTGCAACGTCGCAAATGGAAAAACGTCGTCTCTCATTTTGCCCAAAAATATGTATGTATAAAATTGAAGGCATTTTAACTTTCCTCTCTCAACTTATATTCGTCTGTAACGATAAAGAATGGGACGCGTGTGCTACGGCGCCTTGATACAACTATACAACCTCGACGGATGTCCGTATTGCGTTCAAAAAATTGAAGGCGTTTTGCCTTCCTACGCACCAACTGAAACTGGTTCGTTCGAGGGACGCGTTGGTTTGCGGAGACAGGGACTTTATGCAACTATTTAAACTTGATGGATGCACGTATCGCACCGACTGAAGTGCGAAACCACGTATCTCCAATGCGGTGTTTCAAAATTTCCGTTCTTATTTCATCTCTTCCAAGAGGAACAATCCAAATTTACGACTTTAAATTTTGAACCAAATCTTCTGCTATCATACCTATACAAACAATGGGACGCGTTTGCTACGGCGCCTTGATACAACTATTCAACCTCGACGGATGTCCGTATTGCATTCAAAAAATTGAAGGCGTTTTGACTCCCTGCTCGTACTACCTGTAGTTGATTCGATCGACGGACGCGTTGGTCGGCGGTGAAGGGGACTTGATGCAACTATTTAATCTTGTTGGAGGTCCGTATTACACCGCCTTAAGTGCGGAACCACGTATCTCCATTGTGGTGTTTCAAAATTTCCTTTCTTATTTCATCTCTTCCATGAGAAATAATCGAAATGGCAACGTCTGAGGGCTCATACGGCGTTCTTAATCTGTATTACAGTGTAACCGTGAACCTCTTGGAATGAGCGGCAAATTTTTCAGAACGTACCAAATTGGCAAATCTTCAAGATATGACATCCCTCCTGACGCAGGCATGAACCGCGAAAAAATTTGGACGATCGTAAAGTCAGCTTGAAAGTTCACGTGCACTAACGCGGAATTATTTATAAGTAGATACTAATTATTTGCTGTCTGATGGATTCGAAAAATTGTCTGGAATGCGCTCAAAATACGCAAAATTGGTTTTAATTTACAAACGTCCCGGCGCACAGTGAATCGAGTCAATCAGAGAGGTCGGACATAAAATTTTTGACCAAAACTGCAAATTTTGATGTTTAATTCGTCACATTATAAATTTTGGGGGAAACTTCGGGTGGGAAATTTCACGAGGAAACCAATAGAGCCACTTTTAGAACCTCAAAGTTGCGTATAAACGGAGTTATGAGGGTTTGAAGTTTCAAAATTTTGTCCGATCTCTCCTATTGACTAGATCCATTGTGCGGCGCGGTGGTATGAAAACAAAATATATCGATGACCAAAATTCGAAACCACGTACCTTCGTTTTCAACGTTGCAGAGATAGTCATATTTTATTTTCTCTTTGGGAAACTAGTCATTGTAATCTCTTAAAAATTCTTCGATCTTTTCTTTCTATTACCAGAACATCCTGTAAAAATTTCAAGCTGAAAAAATAAAATAAGGGCGGATATTTTGAGACACGGCAATGAACATACATGGTTTAGCACTTCGGCCATCGCTATAAATTAATGGATGGTTGAATGTAAATTATGGGAATAAAATTAGAGGTTGGAAATTAATAATGTATATGCAGATAAGTTATAAGAAAACGAATCAATGAAGAAATGAGGCCCCCTCCCTCCCATTAAATTTTTAGAGACGAGAGAGTTTTTAAATCTTTGCTTCTCTCCTCGTTCATAACGAAGTTAAGGAGGCGAACTTAAAGCTTACGCCTCTCATGAGAAGTCTGCGGTTTTATTACAACGTAATGAATCACAAAATATAAAGGAAGAACCATACGTAGAAATTATTATCCATGTTTATTGAATATTGCGTCATATTTCGTTAGATTACGCTTTCAATTGTTTAATGCGCAGTTATGAGACACGATCGCACTCTGCCTTCAATGAAACAAGCAGTAGATTTATATTTGTCGATGAACTCTTAATGATAATTTTAAAAATTTTAACAAAATCTAAATGACGGGTCTGAAATTGCGCACCATATTTGTCCCGCCAAAAATTTGAATAATTTTGAAACAAAATCAATACCCGCCTTCAACCTTCACCGAGGCATCAGAGACGCTGTTGATTGGTGTTTGACGGGGTAAATAAAAAATTTTAAGGTTACGTTTTCTCGTTTTCTTATCAACAAAAACGTGTGTAGTGAATTATTTGTATAAATTGCTCAGTTTTTATGTGCCCTTTCCGATTAATGCGGTCTTCAAACCCTTTAAATTTCTTCCAGAGCCATGGCTTTTTATGATCGAGGCAAAGAGTCTCGAAAGAAATCAAATTTTTATGGTTCCAAGGTTTGTGTACTGTAGCTGTTCAACCGTATGAAGTTACTTTGGATTGTTTTCAAAGCTGTATCCTATATCTTTACGCATTTCTCTTTTCGTATGAACAAACAGAGATGATAAAGAAATAGGCAGATTTTTATTACCATTTTTTATAGAGTAGTATTGTCTTGAAGTTGCTAATCATGGTTCAAGGAGTTCCTACAGATGGTGTCGCCCATGTCCACCACCTCGTTCATGCTCCATTTTACCTGTGCTTCTGCTAGGCACTTTGAAAACTTTCAGCTTTCTCTTTAGCTGCTTTTATTCTAAAACCGGTATCATAGTATCTGGAAAACCTCTAATGTCAGGTGTGCTGTCTATAAGTTGAAAATAGGTGCGTTGTCGAAGTCAACTGTTCAGGACCGTTTGGAAATGGAATAACCTGATTCGAAATGGTCGGCGTTGTTGGACTTTATTAGAATTATTCGATGGCTTGTTTTTTTACGCACATAATCCTAGCAATTCTACCAAACGCTGAAAGTGGGACCGTTGGATTGCGTATGGAAACGGAAGAACCAAATGGAATCGAACAAGTTGACTTCAACAACGCATCTGATATTTTGCTTCAAACTAACCTACCAAACTTGCTGTATGGTAGGGTTTCAGATTTAACAGTATCAAATTGGTGGTAAAGATAGTGTCTTGTCAATCTTAAATCATTGTGAAATGATACTTTTGTGAAAGGTTTATCTCATTATTATATGGCTCCTACATTTTTTTAAAATCTCCTGTCAAAATCCTGATTAAATTGAAGTAAGTAAAGTTCATTGTCAAAATTCTTCAATTTCAGCGAACTTATGACACACAGCCATCCATATAAAAATGGATGCTCTGGTGCTGAAACACAGGTTATTTGGTCCAAATGATGAGCCTAAATACAACTCATCGCAATTTTCATGGTCATTTAGTGGAAGTTATCTGTGGTTTTACTCTAATATTTATTGCATGTTGTTTGCAGGACAAGGATGATAAGTTTTTCAATTCAAGGCGTTTGCCTATTATTCTGACGAAACCTGATTCTGAGCGAGACAAGGATAAGGACAAAGGAAGCAAATCTAGGTCCAGTACGCAAGATTCTAGTGAAAAATCAGTGCCCTCTCAACCAACCATTTTATTGAAAACTAGAGAAGGCGATGGGCGGGCCCTTTCACCTAGTCAAAAAACAGCTAGGTGAGTTGATTGCTCTATATTCCTGTACCACCAGGGATAGTTTTAGTTAGGTGTGACGCCAGATTTTTTGACTGACTCCTATAGTGCAACAGAATATCAAATTTCTTGGCTCTTGGATACCGTTGCAATATAAATTTGAAGACAGCAAAACATCTGTCTCATTGTAGTCAGTAAATTAATATGACTGTGAACCCTAACTTGCCAGACCAATCTACACAGGTCAGTCATTCCCGGCGACGAGTTTTGGAACTCTACTGCGCAATTACGCATACTTTATTGGCTGCCTGCAATGTATTTCTTATGGGAGCAGCAATTGTGTTGTCAGATTGGCTGCTGCTGAGTTATGGCCAGGTGGGGGAGTAGATTTCAAAAAAATGCGCAATGACTGACCTGTGTAGATGGATCTTGCTAACTTGCTTAAAGAAATTGAAATCCAGGTTTGAATTCATAAACTGTAGGTCTAAATCAAAGGCAACGAATTGATTATAACTAACTTCAAGTTTGTAGTTGGGCTTGTGGCAAATAAAAAAAAAAATTGATAGATGTGCAACAGCTCAGTCACTGAAGACAGCATTATTTTGTGTCGTAAGCAAGTAAGGGAAGGAAACCCAAATTTGATTGCAACATTTTTCTGATTGCACACTTCAAATTTGCTCTCTTGTCATCAAGCACAATTTCAAGTTTGCAAAATCATTGGTTCGAGAATGATGACCTGTAGATATGGCCTGGATTAAAATATTACGCAAGTATGATTCTACAACGACCTGATTATAATAAAAAAATATTGTAATAATGAAACTGGGAGGATATTCTAATTTCAAGAATCATAAAATAGATTTTCAGGCTTACTTCTAACTTTGCTATGTTTATTTTTGCCATTCATTTACTGTATTTCTGTTCTTACAGGCAAAAAAAGGATGTCGAGCCTACATACCAGCTGGCAACAAAAACCAGCAACACTGATAGTGAGTTTCTAACATTTGCTTTGAAATGCATGTCTATTCTTGGGTTCATCGATTGCCTCTGTTATGCAGACTCTCTCCCTCAAAGTCCATAACTTTATTACAGCATGAATATTCTGTACATATTCACTTGACTAATTGATCCTGTAAGTGATGGTCTTCAGAATTATTTTGAAGCATCTGAAAGGGAAGCGTTTGCCAATGGAGAAAAATCACAAGTGAAGTAAATGAGCAAGATAATTTATTCAATCCAAAGAAATGCCTTTTCATTGGGCGGACATTCTTTTCCATAATTACTAAGCTGTAGAACACCAGAGTCAGATGAAAATCTTGTAATCTTGAATTTTATTACTTGCTGACAAAACTCTCTGGTGGAAATTATTGGTATCTACTTGGTCAGTTACGTCCAAAGTGACAAAGTTTATCTATTTTAAGAGAGAAGAACATATTAGTTTTAAAAGTTGGTTAGATTTAATTTCAGAGTTAAGAGACTGAATCAGGCCGAACTTAATGCTTCAGTAAAGTGCTATTTTATGTAAAGAATGAAAAATTAAACAATAGTGTATTTTCGTTGGAAAAAACACTAATAACTGGTAAAAAAATGATCATGTTTAAGAAAATAATCTCACTTCTGGTAACCTTTTCTACCGGTCATTTACTTTAAAAAATATCGTGTACTTGAATTTTCCAGTACCTAATTCAATATCAGTTCTGAAACATTTAAAATTTCTTTTATTTTTTGCTATACTTATTTTCTGCTTATCTGTTTACTCCCTCTTACAGCGACAAGTTCTCTTCTACCCTTACCTGAAATGAAGCAAAGTATCAAACTCATAGATGAAAATTGTCAGTTTTGCGGCGATGGACTTCTTGAGTATTTGTCAGAACAAACTGATTTCCTCGTCATCGGGTGTATTGGGCCTCAAAGTGCTGGTAAATCAACTATAATGTCCCACTTGACCTCTACAACTCCTACTAATTGGTGAGTAAATTACAGTCCTACCTTTCTCGGAACTAAACAAATGCTCCATGATGAGAAGTTTTCAATCAAATTTTTAAATTTACTTTGGCACTGACACTTACTTGTATCAGCAGGAAAGACTTTAATTCAAAAGGTCAAATTCTTGTCGAATTATTAAAATTTGACACTCCTTGATTAGTGAAGCAATTTGTTAGTGTGGCCAAGCCTACGACTCACCCACTCTGTCAAAAATTTTAACAATCAGTAAAAAGGTTGAAAAGAAAGTCAAACTTCTGGGAAATATTTTCTACATCAATAATTGTCTCCTTTCAGAGGGACATATCTCGGCTGCATTGTTTCAGTCATTTTATTTTTTCATAGAAGAGCTACCGCACAATTTTGTCTGATCATTTCAGAGTATTTTCTTATAAGTGCGAAAGAAAAGTACTGGGAATTTCTGGCAAAGCCATGTGATGGTTCCTCTTTAAAAAGTAAAATTTAAATGAGAAATACTGGAACAGTTCATGCAAGATACGTTTCCTCTAGCGGAAGACGATAGTACAAGGGTCTCCAAAGATTGTGCATTTCTACCATTTCCTTTGAAGCAATGCACATCGATGATGAAACTGTCAGATTACCTTTCTCAGTTTGCAGCGTTTCAGACTTCTTTTCATAGCTGTAGACTTCTTGTCATATCTTAATTTTTAAATGGAAAACTACTCAACACCAATTCTTAAAAGCTTCCATGATTTTTTTTCTCATCGCGAAGAAAATTCTGCGGAAACTTTAAGGAATGTCGATTTGACCTCCTTCAAAAAAAAAAAAAATGAGAGTGGAGATTTTTAAATACAGGAAACAAGATACATGGCCTAGGAGTTTCATTGTTGATATTCTGTGGCTATTTTGCAGCATTGTATGACTGTGCTTGATAAAATTCCTTTAAACACTACTTTTCCTTGAAAAGCCCAGTTTTTACCCCCAAGTGTCATTTTATCAATACGTCTTAAATTTTCTAGGAATATTTTCAAGCCGCAGACAATAGAGCAGGAAGAGGTTGGTTTACATGGTACTAATGGTGTGGATGTCTTTGTGACATCTAATCGGGTCATTTTACTGGACACTCAACCAATATTGTCACCATCTGTTCTGGATAAATTGATTCAACAGGTAAGTTATAATTGAGGAGTTCTTTGGCATAACCACGTATAACGAAAAATATAGTTGTGAGAAATACGCTATTGAAAGTTTGACAGTGTATATTTTCGAAACTACTCAACCGATTTAAAAAAAAACTGAAGACTGTTTTAAAGCTCATACTATCTAGAATTATTTTACAGAAGCACATGATCCTAAATTAACAGCCGATTTTGAGTAAATGAATCTGCTAAATAAATAATTATACGTGGTTTTAACAGAGATCGACTTCGAATGGGTATTTGGCTAATTGATTTTAATTTTTCAGGAGTCATAGGATAGATGAAAAAAAAGTAAATGTTAGTATGAATAATGTACCTTGTATTAGGTTCAAATAGTAAACAAAAAGTTTTAATATTCGCTGATATCGTCATCGGAGAGATCAGAGGGCCCTTGCCCATCGTCACCTGGAACGCTGTTTTTGAAAAGGATGTTTAACCAGGTCCTCGCCTCTTCATTCAAAAACTCATAGAGAGCTCTGAAATCTGCTATTTTGGCCGGTTTCAAAGGTGGAAGAGTTGCTTGTGGGGGTTTTATATCCAACTCTTGACGGGTAATATCGGCATTCTTCCAGTACTGGAAGTCCTCAAAATCGGGAATGTACGTCTTAGAGGCTGAAATAGTTCCGTCTGGCTTGTATTTCAGCATGCAATATTTTTGAAGAGTAAAGCAACTATGCTTCTTCGTCGGTTTTCTCTTAAAAAAAGGACGCAATACAGTTTCCCATTCTTTAAAAAGCGACGGGTCCCACGTGCTCCAATAGGGGAAAGGCTTTTCTCGACTTTTCGCAATGATTTTCAGATACTCCGCAGCAGTCTGAATAATGGGTAATTTTTTCAACTTTTTACCGTAAATCCCGAAATTACGATCGCAAATCGAGTAACTGTGCCCGCAAACAGGGTATACATGCAGTATTTCGACGGCATACACTTCCGAAAACCAAGCACAAAAGCACATAAGCAAGAAGTTCTTATTTTGGCCACCACATGCGTCACTGAATAAAATTTCGCGTTTGAATGGCTCACGGTCCATGAGTTCGATCAGAGAACGATACACTAAAGAAATGACAGAATTGGTGTTTTTTTTTGCCTCCGATTCCATACAACCGTACATGAAAGAGTGTGGACAGTTGTGCACGTGCACATTAAATATGTAAAACCACAATAAACGTTTATAAAATTGTTCGTTGCAATTTAATTTCGGCACTGGCAAATTTTGCGCATAGTCAAACTCCAGAATAACAGTATTGGGATCACTTTCATACCCCCTGATGAGGTCCCTTTTGAGTTGATTGTACGATTTAACTTTTTCCTTATGCAAATTATACCGAATTTTGCATTCATGGTAAAAAAATCACGTTTACGCGTATACGTGGTTTTTCCGGAGAACGTCTCGGATGAGGAGATGCGTGTGTTCGGACCGGCTTAACCTTAATAATTTTTCATCAGAAACATATACAAACTATTTGTACCAACAGCTCAGAGTCAGAGGATTTAGTAGAACCGATCTCCGAAGAAACGGCGTATACGCGTATACGTGGTTATGCCAAAGAACTCCTCAATTGTAAGTAAATTTCATTTCTGATTTTGGAAGCAATGACTCCAAATTATATGGTGCAAACCATCTTTTTGATAAAATGGTGAAAAGAAAAGAAATCGTTCAGTATTGCCGTGTGCAGTGTCCAATTTTCTTATGTTTTTCTGACACTCTTTTAGAATCTTGGAAAATCCAAGCAAGATTTCGCAAAATTACAAGTAAACATTTTATTTAATTTTCCCTGAGGAAAATAAAACATGATCAGACATTTTCAAAAATTGCAATTGGCCTGTTGCAAATTTTTGCTGAGCAAAAAGAAGAGTTGTTACTCATAGAAAGCGTCTCAAAAATTACTATGAGCGCAGCAGCAAAGTCTGAAAGGCACTCCTTACTTCACAATTTGCATAAGAAATTTGCGTTTTTTCGAGCTTTCCTTTTCAAAAACGATACTATAGTACAGGCGAACATTTCATTAGAGGAGTCATTCCTTCCAACCCCTGCTCAAAAGGATACTATGCAATATTCAACACAGCCGATGCCAATCCACCAAAATACATGTGACGGTCCGTCACTGACGGGGCGATGATTCTAACCACCTGATAACAATCGGCGTGTTTACATTCACGTTTTTCTCGTGTTGATAGATATCCGTCTTGATTGACCGCGTCCTCTCCTCAACGTGCACGCAGAAGCATCGGCCATGTTGAGCAGGGATTGAATGGAACGACTCCTCTAAAGAAATGTTCACCTGTGCTGTAGTATTCTTTTTGAAGCGGGAATTTTAAAAAAATGCGAATTTCTTACACAGATTGTGAAGTTAGGAGTGCATCTCAGAGTTTGTCGATGAGCTCAATGTGATTTTTGAGACATTTTCTATGAGCAACTCTTATTTTTGCTCTAGCAAAAGTTTGCAACAGGCCCATTGAGATATGTATTTTTCATGTTAAGCCATCGATATTTTGTACTTGAATTTACTAAAACAGCCCGTTCTTTTATGCTGGGCTTGTCCCTATTATTGCTCGTAAAACTTCTGAATGCTCAGATATCTCTTATAAGGTAATAAACACAAGAAAATACTGAGTCAAACTGATGGTCAAATGACTGACCCTCAACTACAACATATGAATTTGAGACAGAGGAAAATGCGGTGGAAAGAAATTCGCTTCAAATCACAAGGTTCTTGTTGTCAGTTTGTCACACCGTGATTTTAATCAAATTACTGAATTCCTTTTTTACAGGACAATAAGAAATCCTTAGGCAACCCAGGGCCCCCAAACCACAATGCTTTTTCAAGCATGAATGACCGATCGGCAACTCCAACAACTGAATTTGGGACCGTGGAAAATGCAGTGGAAATAAATTCTCTTCAAATCACAGGATTCTTGTTGTCAGTATGTCACACTGTAATTTGTGTTCAAGACTGGTTCTTTGATCCCAATGTCTTTAGGTGAGTTTAGAATGATTAAAAATATGCTTGCACTGCTCAATTTCTCACCGAAAATCTAAGAAACGGTTACATGCTAAGGATTTAAAAAAGAAACAACTGAACTGGCGAAAGACTCTGGTGGTTAGCTGAAATTTTACAATAACTAGTAGATGGAGGCACCTGAATATCTGAAGTATTGAATCATTCATGTAAGAGAAAAAGGCGTAAAATCCTTAGGATACAATAAGTAATAAATACCTCGCATGAGATTCAAAATGTTATATAAGACCTGTCGTCTAGATTTTTGTGCTCGGTTTCAGTAGAAACGAGTAATCACCAATATTCTTTTGCGCTCTTAATATTATCCCTTTACTTTGGTGTGGACTCTATCAGAGTAATAATGCATTCCATAGCTTTCTTATGCTTTGAACATTTATTATCTGCATTTTTAAAAACCACCGCTTTGGTTGCGCTTTCGTGAAACAACTATTTTTGTAATTTTTAATCAAGGAAACACCAATGCCTCATAAAGTTCCACGTTGTAGTCTTCCACGAGCTCTCAACTGAGGTTTCCACCAAATCTTCAAAATCTCTCATAGGTAATTTTAAAAATTCCTTTTTGCACCCAGATTTCTTCAGTCAGCCGAAATGTTGAAACCTGCAACTACGACACTTCAGGACGATGTGATGGTTGAATATTTTCCCCAAGTCGTTTTTCTCCAGAATAAAGCTCGTGTCTCAGATTTCAATCAGGAGAATATTTCGACAATGCAGGTAAAAATATGATTGTTTCAAATTGTTGTTTTCATTTAAAGTTCTGAGACAAATGCTCTGTCTGAGGTAAGAAATAAATCAGAAACTGAAATTTGGAGAAAACTCCTCTCAATTTGAATACTTCTCTCTTGAATGGTATATACCTCAATATCAAGTGAATGGGTCTGTCGCATGCTAGAAACATAGCCAAGTGTATACACTTGCTAAGAGTAAAATTGCTTGAAAATCACAGCGGGCACCTAAAAAAAGTCTGAAATCCACTCCTTAGCGCCCAATCTGCGTAGTTTGTAACCAGCTTTTTCAAATTTACTGTGTCTTTGGGCAGTTTTCCTTGGTGGCTGGCAGTCAGGTTTGCTCCGAGAGAGAGACCTAACCTAAATAAACAAACGATCTCAGGAACTGTTATAAACTCTCCTTGTGTAAGATTTCAATTGATTCAAAGCTTTTGTTTTTGCAAAATAAGGAAAGAAAAAGTACAGAAACGCTTGATGACGATTGAAATCATGTAAGAGAAAAAGTCAGTGGAATTGTTTATTCACTCAAGTTAGTTGTTCTCACTCCTCCGCCTGTGCAAACCTGGTTGGTGGTGCCTGAGAAAAAGTGCCATAAAGAATATTTACATCTGGCTGTATCTTTTGCATGCAACAGACCTATTGGATGATTTGGTTTAATACAAACTTTAATTTTACCCATTCCGACCTCTTTGAGTGCAGTCAATCAATTTAAAACCCTGCCTAACCTCTGACTTGAATCTCCTCTAAAGAGTAATTTTTAATTGTTGCATTTTTGAAAAGTAGAGAGTGCATTTAGCTCCCAGGAATTTACTAATATTTCTCTAATGATATTAACCTACAAACATAAAGCTAAAAATTATTTACTCCTAGCTCCCACTTGAACGCGCATCAAGCTGCCATTATCAATGCACATCCATGTAGACTATGGACCACAGCAGAGGTAATGCTCAATCAAGTGGGACATCTTTGCGCGTTTAAATGAGGGCTAAAAATACGTAATTTTAAACTTGCTTTTCATGGGTCAATATCGTTCAAAAAAAATCTGGGACAATTCCTGAAAGCCAAGTGCACTCTCTTTTCATAACTGCAACATGCCCAATCTTTATCGCAAGGACGCATTTTTATTGCTTCAATTCTTGGTGCATCAAAACTTATTTCTTTTAAGTCGTAACCATGATGCCTAGTCTATGATTCCAAATTTAAACCCTTGCATATTATTTTTATAGCCTTTTGATGATAATATTTTCCTTCTGTATTGAAACCAATCAAAAGGAACATATTAATGGATACATATCACTCTCTATCAGTTTAATGGTAGCACAATATTTAGATAAAAAATCTAGTTTTAGAATCCATCTCTTCGGCGGGAGGAAAATCAAATTTTTTTAAGGAAACCTATAATTATTTATCTGAATGTATCGATAAAATGTTATTTTACTCCTCTATCTCTTCTTGTAGGACGTCATCAATCAAACTTTCTTAAGGTCAAGGCTTCAAATTCAATCAGGTGTCGGCATTGCCACCGGAAATGTCATCAAACATTTGAACCCCATGACTTGTGGTGACCCTATCAACTTATACCTCCTACCAAATTTTTACAATGAAGGTATCTTGTCAATATATTTTTTTATGTTGAAAATCAATGCAAGAATTTTATGATCCTCTTATTTTGCGAAACGAATGTGTTGCCTCTTTTGCGGTAACTTCTGCAAAAGAAGAAAATCACCTTAAAATTTGTTTCACTTTGACTGCTTCTCTTCAGAATGCTGCGTCAAAGATTCTGTGCTCATTGCAAAGTGAAAACTGGAAATTTTCACGATACATCATGAAATTACTCATTGCAGTAATTTTTGTTCGAACTGGTGTTGAGTCAATGAACAATGGCTTTTCAATTGATTGCCAATCGAATGGGTGTCAGTGATGTTTTCAATTTTGTATCAACAAAGAAACAACTTAAAACGGGACTAAGGCCGCATATAATAAAAAGAAACACACAAAATAAAATGAGAAACCCGGGACGTTTCGCAGGGATTACACCCGCATTTTCAACCAGCAAATCAAGAAAATTAAAAGAAGGACACTATGAGCCTCACCGTTGTTATTGTGAGACTGATAGTGCAACCAAAATAAACAAACAAGTGCAACTTGAAACAAAGCACATGGAAGCAGAGATTACTCAGGTGTTCCAGCTCAACAAAGGAGCTTTGGAGCAAAGGAGGGCAACAAAGTTGTGCTTTGTTTCAAGTTGCACTTGTTCGTTTATTTTGGTCGCACTATCAATTTCACAATAACAACGGTGAGGCTCATAGTGTCCTTCTTTTAATTTTCTTGTTTTGCCGGTCAAAAATGCAGGTGTAATCCCTGCAAAACGTCCCGAGTTTCTTATTTTATTTTAGGTGTTTCTTTTTATTATTTGCGGCCTTAGTCCTGTTTTAAGTTGTTTCTTCGTTAGTTTTTCGGCCCGATTAAGTTGTTTTTTGTATCAACTTAAGTTAATCAAAATGGTGCCCTCAGTTCACTGAGGAAATGACTTTTATTCTGTCAGCTATTAATGTTCAATCAAATAATTATTTTTTTCTTTTTTTTCGTAGAAAATCCGAACCATTTCAAGAATAACACAGGGTTTGCTGATCTGATGTTGCAATTCAAGAGACAGTTGCTTGGTATAACAAAGCATCCCTTAACTCATACAGCCTTAACAGAAAAAAATTGGTATGCTAGTCTTGAATAATTGTGTTTAAGTTCCTCGCAGGGTTTTCTTTCGTAAACCTTATTTTTTATTTTTGTGACAGTGAGAGTCTCAATAATTTTTCATTCTTCGTTAAATTTTTTTCAACTACTTTTTCTTCCTTTAAACTAATTTTATTTAGAAATATCTTAACTCTTACACTTCTTAACACTCTAACATATGCCTTATGACTTTTCACCTGAATTAGATTTCCAAAAGTCTCAAGAAACAAAGTCTAAATAATACAGATTATCTAGAAGAACAGCTGTTTTGTAATTCTCTGTCATTTGTTTGAAGAAATTGACTGGAATTCTCTGTCCTTTGTTTTAAGAAATTAACTGGAATTCTCTGTCTTTTGTTTTAAAAAGTGTCAATTGGCCCTCTCTAGCTTAACTTGACTTTCATCTTTCAGCTGATATGTTAAGCCCATCCAAAAATTCGTCTTTTTTTGTACAATACCTGTGTGCAAGTTAAAACCTGGAGAAAATTCATCCCTTTTTGAATTTTAACTGTTAGACATTAAGAACTAAAAATGCGTAATAAAAAAAATTAAATGATTATTTCCTTAAACAATATTTCCAGCAAACTTTAAAACTAAATTGGTTGAATCTTCCAAAATCTCATTTACACTTTTTGCCCAGGTTTCACTATGCTTCGAAAGTATGGGATGGTATAAAGAAGAGTCCATTTTATTCGGAATACAGCAGACTTTTGCCGTGATGGTTTATCTGGATATATTTCTTTGGATGAAGTCTTCACTGAATCGTTGACCTCTGAGGTAAGAAATTTAATCCATTCTATGCTCGTTGAATGTACTTGCCCAAGAGGTAATGAAAACGAGTTGAAAGATATTACACTGAAAAATTAGAAAATCGTGCCTGCAGTCGCTGCAATACTTTTTTTTGTAGACTGTTTGTAAATTTCCCAACTGAATCAGGTCTAAAATAAAAAATCCCTTCAAATGCGTCTTAAATTCCACCAAAACATCAAGTTGAATATAAAAGTAAAATTCGTCACAGTGTTTTTTACTCATGTACAATAGAATAAGGTGGCTCAAGGGTATGTTTAATTTGGAGAGAAAAAGCTCTAGAAAGATGACAATACTTTTTTCTTCAAAAATTCACGTAATTTATTTGAAAAAAAAAAAAGAAGTACTTAGAAACAAGAATCAGCAGATCAGAAACAAAATATATAAAAAGAAACAGAACGAAACAAGAAACAAATAAAAGTTCAAAATCTAATCACATTTATCATCCACCTTTAGCAGTCAATTATCCATCTTTCTTAAAACTTACTTAAGTAAGGATATTTAGTGCTAAGTCGTTAGGAAGATAAAGAGACAAAAACGATAATAACCCATCAGTTTTGCTGGCTGATTTTAAAAGTTAACACACAGGAAGACTAAGTTAAAATACAGAAGCTTCGTCGGAAGGTTTTGTTCGAAACGAATCTCTCTTTGCATATTTTTGTTTAAAAATACAGAGAATACTGACAGTGAAACTGCAGTAACGTGTATTATACGAGTAGTTTGTGACATTGCTAACTTCCTGTAATACTCTATTTCTTAAGTGGGAAATTTCGCAAGACCTTTCTTGAAAATGTCCTAGATTTTTCTTTCATGTGTGAAGATTAATCTTTCGAAATTTCAAGTAATAAGGTTGGTTTGTTCCCATTTGATAAAATGAAACAGGAGCATAGGTTTTGAAACACCACAAGCAAGACACACGTTCCTGCAGTTTCTTCGTCGATTCATCACGAATTTTTAGATCTCATTTTGTTCTCGTTATATCAGCCAACTTAAAAAAACCAGCCAAGTAATGTTGATAGGTAAATATTGCACAAATTATTTCACATCACCATTTTCTTTTTTGAAAGTAATACTCTCCTCGAAGAAAACTTTTAGAAGCTTTTGAGATTCATTTAACTTATACTCTAATGAAAATAAATAATTGATATGTAGCGATTTCCTCATTCCTGCAAATAGAACTGCATTTTAATAGATTATCTTGGTATGTTTAATAGACCACCTGACAAGGTTGGCCCCAAACAACAACCCTCCTTCAAGTATATGATTTTTCTGTTTTTCTCTCCAAGTTCCTAATTCAGTTTTGATTACCAAAGAATTAAAATTTCATAATATTTTTTCAGTGTCTCTGAAACTCATACTAACAGAGGATGATCTTTATTCGCTCATTTCCAGTTAACTATTTACATCAGTCTGATAAGTCGTGCCTTCAGAAAAAAAATATTAAAACACGTCTTTTCCTCTCTGTACAAATCACAAAGGAGTTTGTGTAATCTACTAACTAAAAATTACAATCTATCATAATTTTCATGTTATAATTATGAAAACTGAAGTATTGTTTATCTACATAGATTCATACAAAATAGTTTGTGTTTTTGCTGTATCGGGAATATTAGTCATCAAGGTTTTTGTTCTTTGGCTGAGCAAAAGTATATTTTGTGACGTCAAATGTGTTGGTAGTTCAATCGTTTTTTTTTCTGAGCGTTGAACTTTGCTTTCACTTCTTGTAAGGATTATAACTTTTATCGTTTGGAAAATTCTTATCATATGACATTGAAAAACAACCATACGTTATGAAGATAGTGGAGGTTACTCGAATGAAGTAAATTCAACTGTAACTTTTAGTAAATGTGGATTTCGTTAGAAAGGTCTAAACCTTCATTTCATTCAAAGCAAATCAAGTCAATCGTTAGACTGACTGTCTAGAATCATAAGTATTTCCTGAAGCTGGAAGGAAAGCATCTTGAAACTGCCTCTACATTACACACAGTAAGAGGATTCAGAGTTTTCCAAAAATTTTCTCCCTTACTGTTGTTGAAAGCAAGAATGTATCATACTTAATTCTTGAGTTGTGGGCATCCCTCTATGACCAAAAAAAAAGGCCATTTTGTGACATTTTTTACAAAATGAATCTGTACACTCATTATCTTAAAGTTCGGCCTTGCCTCTTGGTTACTGTATTCAAAATTTTAATTTTTTACTCTTGCGTAGGCAAAGTATCCTACCATAGATAAGCCTAATTCTTTTTATTTAAACTTTATATTTTCAGCATCAATTTTGAATGGTTTGATAATGCCGTATTGAAAACACCGTTTATTGAATGTTGATTTTCTTATAATTGAAGATTACGTAAGAAAAGAAAAGCAATCTATCTGCAGTTGAGGCACTCTCACTTCGGACAAAAGTTTACAAGTTCAACTTTCTCGTTTATTTGGCCACTTTCTTTAGTCAATCTTAGACAGCAAGTTTTTCTGGTCAAATTAAAAATTTTTCGTGCATTACTCTCAAGTTTTCAATCAGTTTTAATTTTACCCTCATTGATAGACGCTTCTCAAGAAAGGTTTCCGGCGGGTTTGAATAGGCTTGTATGAATGCTGGTACACAGAAGCAAGTCGCCAGTGCTCAGGATAATCTTGCCCAGTCGTTCCTGGCCACAGCGAGAATGGTGGCACTAGAGTTCCGATCGAGTAACTTCTCTTTGCGAACGGAGTCTTCGGTTTCGGAATGTGTAATTTATGCTCGTTGTTCAACCTCTGAGCATTACCGTTTCCGTTGAAGCCGTTCGGTTTTCCAGCTTTGAATGCCATCTTGTACTCAGGTTTACTTTGGCTATTGTTTGACCCAGAACTAGATTTATTGCTACATGCCATACATGGCCGTGCGTTCAACAACTTATGACCCTTGCTTTTCACATGATTGTTATTTTTATCATCGGAACAACTGCTCGACGTACTTCCACAATTGCCGTTTTTACATTCTTTCTTCTCCTTACCCTCCTCATTGACCACTGTAGTTAAATTTGGTGAGCTGCAGTAATGCTTTTGATTTTTAAGATTCAAAGAGCCCAAATCAGAGGAAAGGGTCAGGTTGTTTTTTATCGAGTCGCAGTGCTCCTTGCTACACTGGCTGTTTCGTTTACTGCTGCCCCGAGAACTGGCTGAATTAGATTTTCCTTTCCTCGGAGGGACCGGATGCACATTCGGGCTGTCATTCTCCTTAGCAACAGAGCCGTTATAGTTTTCTACAACATTCATCACAGCAGAAGGATTTGATCTCTCTTGTATTTTCATCAATTGTCGCTGGAGGTATTTATTAGAAGTGTCATCTTCGTCCCACGCTGTCCTTGGTTTTGTTTTCATCTCATCACCACACTTTGGCGACATGGATTTGTAACTTGTTTTGTCTGGAGTCGGACAGCCGCTTTTATGCTCGTTTGGAATCGGGTGGACCAAGGTGAAAACAGACGGAGCTGCACTACCGTTACTTCCATCTATGTGTGTTGGTCTCTTTGGCTTGAGGTCGGTATTTTTTGGATGGTAGTCCCAGCAAAGCGCCAACTCCATCTCCGTAAAATTCTCTTTCTCCCGAGTGCCTCTGTCACTGGACGTTTTCGGCCTGTCATCTTTCGGTAACGAATCTCGTTTCTGCGCGTTACCTGCAGTTTTCGGTCTATATACTCTTAATTTGCTACACTGTGTAGGGCCAGGTACTCCGTAGCATTTGCACCCGATTGCCGCTGCTTTCGGCTCAGTATTTAGAGCTAACCCCGGGTTTTTCTCCCGATCGAATTGGAGGGAGCGGTACAATGCATCTTCGATGATGTCTGGTAGAGGATGGTGCTTCTGGTTCTCTAGTTTGAGAGTCCGTGCAAATTGAGAGTTCGTATGAGCACTCATCAAGGGAGGAACTTTGCAAGTTTTCGGTGATGCTGGCGGCGGAGGACTGGACAGTTGTTCTTTGCTTACTATTTCGGGGTATTTTACTTGTTCACTAATATGCATTGAATTCTCTACCGGTTTCAAAGAGTTGGGTGAAGTGGTTGGAGGTAGTCGGCACAGCTGGTTGTGACTTTCACAGTTTTCAACGGCTTGACGAGGTAAATCGGCAAGTTTGATGTTCGTATCGTGCGTGATGTGGTGCGAATAGTCAAAATCATCAGTTTTACTGTTTGGCTGGTACTGATTTATATTCTCTGCGTTACTCCTGTGTTCCTCCTTCAAGCATGCTGGCATAAAATCTGTATCTTGTTTTAGATCGTCTAAAACACTTGATCTTATCAGCTGTAAGAAAGAGAACAATTTTCATGAAAGCAGAATAATATTTGGATTAAATTTTGCAATAAGGAACATCTCTGGCATCTCTGGCTCTCCCATAAAAGCGCATATCTTCATAGGGAAGCCAATGGCATGCATGTTGTTTCTAAAATGGGCCAAAAATAGTGGTTCCCTCTTGCAAAATTTAATCAATTTTCCCCTAAAACTATAATTTTATACTGAAAATTTTTTTTAATCAAATATAAGGATTTTTTGTTTTAAATTATGTACGTCTATTTAATGAGAAGCTATTGGACGCAGTAACTGAAAGATAATCTACCGACACAAAATATTCTCAATAGATAGAATCCTTTTTATAAATATGACCGCCTAAAGAAATAAGGAACCTAGTGATGCATATCTTAAAATCAACTCATTAGTGTCTCTGCTTAGAGGAATTTTAAAGTTGTGGATTTTTTCAATTTCCTTACTTTCTTACTTAATTTTTCATCGAAATTCATGTCTACATAGACTGAATTGCACAGGAAAAAACAGAACCACAAATTTTCAGACGGGGATCAAGTAATAATTTGTATCAAGCTTAACCAGTTGCAATTTTTTCTGTCCAAATTTCCGAGTTTAGAAAGAATATTTTGAATGTAAAAATAAGGAATTGAACTTGATTTCTAACGTACGAAGAAAGAAAACTTCAAATCTAATTTTCTCAGTTTGATCAGAAACCAAGTCACATTACGATGTGACTCGGTTTATTTCTGTTAATAGTCTTTTTAAAATCCTAGTCTTACCTGTTTGTTATTGTTCTCTCCCTGATGTAACTCCTCCACTCTATCTTCCTGACCTCTTGATAGTAATTGTTTATCTTTATCGTTTGCCTCCAACTGTTTCAGCGATGTCGTTTCAAGCGTCGGAGAGGCTGCTGGCGATTCTTTTCTGGAAGCTCCGGGCTTTGTATATCGAGATCTTTTCTCGATGAGATAACTTTTCCGAGGACGTGACAGTTCCTCCGCTGTAGGAAAAAGTGATACACATTCAGGAGTTTTCGGATATGGTCCATGATGCAAAAATAGTGTCAAGCCGCTTCAAGGCAGCAGGAATATGCCTGTTTCATTCTTGCGGACGAATTTTGCTGTCAAGTATCCGTTTTGGGTAACTGAGCATTACTTGAGTGTTTTGATTAAACTGCTAATAAATTCTGAGATCATCATAAATTTAAAAAATGTCTTATTCATTTCTTAACTTAAATTCTTGATTCATGAAGACTCATGAGAAATAAATCACTCACATTTACAATGGACTTGTGATTTAGTACAAGGCATGAAAATCTTTTTCTCTAAAAATCAGTAGGTTTTTGATATCAAAGCCGAGGTTCAAATATTATAAGCTTTGAAGCACTTAATTGAAGACTTATAATCAATGTCGGGCTAAGTACAGGAAGTTGATTCTGAGTTATTCATATTTTTATCTCCGACAACTACAATGGGTTTGTACCACATAAGCCATCTTTTGGACGTAATACGTACTTTTTTTTAGTATATAGGTGACACTTAGCCCGTTATGCAGCATGCAGTTCATGGTGTTTAGGACAAAATGCTACGTCTAATTTAATTTTCGATTTCTTGGCTTTTAGCCTGCTATTGATGATAAGTCGTCAATTGTCTTTTTCCTTGACATTCAGAATGTCTATTTACTTGGTTTCTAGAAAGAATTAATCAATTTCAAGAGGTAATCTTGTTTATTTTTCTTTTAAAGAAATAAAGCGTATTTAATCAGAGACCTTTTAAAGTTGCAAATTTGCAATGCAGGTCTGCATTATTCGACTTGAACTATTGATGCAGTTTAAGTGATATCTGAATTCAAATCTTTGACTACCATTTTTTATGACTTTTCGCTTCTTATGAAAAACTATATTTTCCCCCTATCCTCACATTTCATAACCTGTAAGAATGAAGTGAATTGGAAGAATAAAATTATAAATTGGTAGTTTCTTACCGACTTGGCGCGTAATTCTCTTTGGCAACTGGTATGTTCCTATGTACAATCCTTCGAAAGGGTTTCCGCTGGGTCGCGGTACTCCTGCCAGGAGATGACCCTTATCATCGGCTATGACTCGTGTTGTCCTTCGTTTTATTTTTGGCCTGTCACCATACGGCTGCTTTGGTATTTCCCAGTTGCCAAGTCTCCTTGGTTTAAAATCGTCTTCATACTGAAAACATAAAATTGAAAATTAGTCACTTCAAATTTTCATTGAAAAATCAAATTAATCGTGAAATGATAAAACCGAAAATCTTGATTTGTGATGTTGCCGGTTGGGAACCCTTCTTGCGACCCTACGCATGCTTCAATCTCTGTGCCTGCGTCAATTTAAATTCTGTTTTAATACATTATCAGAGAAAAAAGTATATCAGGAAGTTGCAGAACCAAAAAACTAGAAATTCTTCATTAGTACAGCAATCATATTTAAGTGATGTTTCATTAGTATTGCAGTATAAAGGAAAATTAACGGTGATTTAGGAAAAAGAAAGAATGAAACTGTGAACACACATGAAAAGTTCACTTTAATAATAAACATAAATAAATAATAGCATGTTCCAAACAATTGTATACATAATAGTTGTTGTATAAAAATTGCATCCTTAAGAATTACAATAGGTACTGTGGGTACAGTACACTAAATGTTGCACTGATTTCCGTTCGAAAAGATACCCGTGATTAATCGCAACGCCTTGCAGAGAGGTTGAAACACGTGATACAACTATTTCGACGTCTGTGCAGCTCAAATTGCATATCCATCGAGATGAAGGAAAACTGAGTTTTTCACTCGCCGGAGTTGTGTTCTGCGCATCTCAATTCAGACCTACCGTGAAACGGTTGTTTCCAATGGCGTGGCGTGCTTTGCGATATATCGATTGATCTGCCTTTTAAACCTATGGAAAAGTATCGATAAACAGGGTGCTCGCAGCGAACACCTTAATAATCGATTATTCACCACAGCTTCAAATGGGGAACTATCGATAGCTCGCAAAGCACGCGACGCCACTGGTTTCTGGCAGTTTTCAATGATTCACCGACATGCGATTATTCGCCGCTCGGGTGAACCAGCGAACCCGTAAAACTTTTTAGACCAGAAAATCGTACTCTGCGGGTCCTTTTACATGGGACTAGCTCGGTTTCAGCCAGATCTGAGAACTTCCGATTTTGACCCCAACATTTTAGTCCATGTAACCGAATTATAAATGCCAGTGAATCTCAAAAAAACGTTCAAAAGCACCCGTCTCTCGCCTTTTTTACTTTTTTTGACGTTTTGCACGAACCCACTTCTCAGGATCGGACTGGCTCACATCTCAGGGCGTAGACCCTTAGCCGGCCAAAGGAACGTAAAATGAACTTTTGCCTCTGNGGGGGGGGGGGGGCGACGTGAAAGGCGGTCCAAATCACCAGAATTTTACGCTTTTTTACAAGTCCGAAGTTTATTTGGTAATCGCACAGAGCAAAAATTGTGAAATCGAACACTTTTGAGTAACCGGAAGACTTTGGAAATGGAAAAAAAAAAATATAAAATCAAAGCTGGGTAGCAGAATCGCATCCATGCATCATTATCTGCAGAAGAATTGAGCCAGAACTTGCAACCTATAATACTGCTTTTGAAAACTAAAAGTCGAAAAATGATGCATTATTTTCAGGTTTTCGGTTTTATGTTAATAAAGAAGAAAATATTTTTTAACCTCATCGAAAAATGAAACATTCAATGTAGAAGGTACAAGGTGTTCAGTAAAAAAAGTAGAAATTAAGAAATAGGAATACATGTATATTAAATGCACTAGAGATCTAAAGGAGGCTGCAGAGGTCCCATTCAACGATCATTTCGTTGTGGCAATGACAATGTTTTGGGACGTCGCTGAGCAAATGATAGCCTAATTTTGCAAGCTTAAACATAACTAACTTTTATTGAAATTCACTGATTGATTGTGAATGGTTTCTTTTGGCTCCTCTCTTGAATCCTAAGTTTTTAGCGAACAAGGTACCTACAGTTATATTTTAGTAGGTAATGTTTTCATTAACCTTTAGATGCTGAAGCCCGGTCAAATTGACAGGAGACTTGTTTAAAACACGTGCCACGCGAGTTGTAAGGGACCGCGGTACATACGAGCCGTAAGGGTCTGCAAATATATGTACATTAAAAAAAGAATCAAACTTCAAATTGAAAAGGAAGAAAAAATGTAGAAACAACCGAGTTGAGACGTAATCGGCTCTAGTTTTTTAAATTTTCCTCTCGAATCGGAAAGACCTCTCGCTGACAGCATAGAACGGAGCATTGCGAGTTCACGCCTAGCGCCATCGCGCCTTCAACTTTACAGATGCAACACGTACATCCATCATGTACGAATAGTTGTATTTCTGCGCCGTCATCAACGCGCATCCTTTTACTTTGCTCTATCCCCATACTGTGTTTGTTTCGGTTTGTCTTATTTTTAATTGTAGCGGTACTTTGAAGGATGTACGAGCAACACAGTCTTAAATAGGAGAGCCGTAGGTAATAATCGAGCTTCGTTTCTTAACTTTTCTCACGATACCTCATTCTCACCCTGTTAAAACTGTTGAGTAGGCTGTTCAGAATTCGCAAACTCACATGATTAAAACTTCCTACTTGTATGAATAGAAATCCTACTCATGTGAAAAGAAATTCTACTCACATCACTAGATATTCTACTCTCATAAGAGTAAAAAAGTGCAACTCGCATGAATTCAATTTTTTTCATTTTTCAGAAGTGCTGTTTCTGACCAGGGGACACATACGTAATAGGTAAGTACCTAAATTAGAAAAGTAAAAACATTTCTTTCTTACGATTTTGCTGATGCGGTGACTAGTTTCTGAGATATCGGACACGGTAGATTCAACGCTGAACTCATGTGAGTTGAAATCTCTACTCATATGAGTTGGCGAAAACTGGATGGAGAAATTCTGCTCATATGCGTTAAATTCTATTCGTATAAGTTGAAATTCTATTCATATGACCATTTGTACTCACCATTTTTAGCAAGGCATTGGCAACATAAAGCGGAGCTGCGGGACATCATGAATTCACAGCTCGCGGGTTTAAGGACATTTTGTCAACGATTTTCTGTCTGCGCACCTTTTTTGTCCAGTAGTTTACGCCCACACGTAAAATAAGCAACAGTGACTTGGTCCAAGCGTTTTATTTTAGTCGGTAAGTAAAATTTTATTGACAATATGAAATTGAGGGAGAAAGGAGGTGTTGTTTGGTTGCTCATTTTCTAAATGGAATGTTACTTTCTCCTTTTGATTCATCTTTTTGAATTGTCATTGGTGAATATATGGTTTTATTTCTATCCTCAAAATATTCGATGTACAATATACCTTACATATGTATAGGTACTTTTTTTATTTTTTTAATTTTTTTTTTACGACATTATTACTTCATTTTGTAAACATTTATATTTTTAAAACGTGACAAATATTTGTAAAACCTTTTCCAAGCGATGGCATCGATATTAATCTCAATGAGCCGCAGTTGTGCCGAAAGAAACTGCAAAAATGAATACAAGAGGGAAAAAACCAAGAGGCACGCAATCTTTACTTTTAACCCATTTGTACATCGATGTTTTAGAGTCAAATACGTCAAATTTTGAGCGTTTGGTTGCGCATACACCTCGCTGTAGCACAGTAAAAGCATAAAATGTAAAATGAAAAAATTAAAGTGCTTTGGAAATCATTAAATTTGACACGGAACCACTAATACTTAAAAAACACATTATATTATTACTCTCCTTTGATAAATTGATACATATTTTTTCCCCATAAATTTCCATGAGAACAATCAATGCAGAGTGCGCGAACATTTCAAAATCATCAGTTAAAAAACGCTGACTATGCGAGTATAAATATTAAAGCCTAACAGAGCGGAGCGGCGTGCTACCGGCGTGAGAGGCTCACTGGCGCCTACAAACCTAAGTGGATACTTCACGCATTGCACAATGCTTGAAGTATCCACTTAGGTTTGTAGGCGCCAATGCGCGATTCGCGCTGATCGCCCGCCCGCCGTGCGGTGGCGTCTGAAGCAACTATTTCACCACAGAGACGTTGCACAGTATTATACGAAATTGGACGTATTAAGAATGATAGGCATCCTTTAAAAGTACAGACCTTTCCTCGCAAAATAAATCAAGATACTTATTGTACACAGGAAAAATCTAAGAAAAATTAGCTGAGGCAAAGATAGAGGTTTATCCGGTGTAGGTATAACAAGGTGGGAAAATCTTGAAAGATAATTAAGTCCTGCTACACCAAAGAGATGTAGAGAGTTTTAGTGAATTTTGTCTCATGGAATTGACGCTCCCCCATTTTTACCAAAACTCAACTATATATATTATTCTCCGTTGGACCAAACAGACAAAACAAAAAAACAAGCAAATCCTCATTCTTCCAAGACATTTTACATTTTCATCCAAAAACGTCGTGAGCAATTGTCGTTTGTATTTACGTGTGGGCCAATTAACTGTGGGTCTCATCAACTGGCACGTGGACTAAAACACCCGTGCCGAAAAAACCCGTGGATATAAATTACTGGAAAAAACAGGTTCGCGGACAAAAAATCGTCGACGAAATTTCTTATAACCCTTAAGTACAGTATAGTATAAGTTCCCTAATGCTGTGTCAAATACGAACAAACGTGATCACACAACTACAAGCAACTGTTACTGCTCTGATGCTGCCCTTATTGTCTACCGATGTCTAGCCTGCCAGGTGGAAAATTCACTGAAATTTGCACAAAAGCGTCAGCGCGTCCTAGTCTTCTTTGTACGGACGAATAAAATCGGTGCGAAAAGAGCCGAAATGCCTTTAGTTTTCTACGTTCCGATGACCAAAATGAGAGACCACGTATCTCCGTTTGCGACGTTGCAGATTACTTGTCAAAATCTATTTTTTTCTTCCGATAACTAGTCAACGTAGAATGTTTCTCCGTGATTTTTCATCTCTGTTAGCAGAGTATCTGGCATACAAATTAAGTTGTAACGTTCGATCGCTTCCCATCGAAATAATAAAATAGGAGCGGAAATTTTGAAACACCGCAATGTAGATACGTGATACTGTACTCTGACCATCGATATGTGATACGAACATCCGTAAAGCTTGCATAGGCATCAAGACGATATCTTGTCACCAACGCGTCCGTTAATCAAGCGCTGCAGTCAGTGCGCTGAAATTCAAAACGCCTTCAATTTTTTGAACGCAATATGGACATCCGTCGAGGTTGTATACTTGTATCAAGGCGCCGTTGTCAGCGCGTCCTAGTCTTCTCGTTACGGACGAATAAAATCGGTGCGAAAAGAGCCGAAATGCCTTCAGTTTTCTACGTTCCGATGACCAAAATGAGAGATCGCGTATCTCCGTTTGCGACGTTGCAGATTACTTGTCAAAATTTATTTTTTCTTCCGATGACTAGTCAACGTAGAATGTTTCTCCGTGATTTTTCATCTCTGTTAGCAGAGTATCTGGCATACAAATTAAGTTGTAACGTTCGATCGCTTCCTATCGAAATAATAAAATAGGTGCGGAAACCACTCTGCGGAACCTACTCTGTCTATTGGCACGTGGACCAAAACCTCCTTGA